GACTTTCCAGAAATGCACAGTAGTTACTAAACTGCTTTTGTAGGAAACACAGACAAAAAGTTAGAATCAAATTCTGCCCTGCTTCCTCTGTCTTTCTCTTACTCCAAATATTTCCATTCACCTATATTGTGCTGTTTCCATTTAGGTTTCCTCCAAAAAATATATAAATTCACAAAAGTGATGCAGTGTGTTCTTTTAGTGGTACTTAAGGTCATATTATCAGAACAGTTTAAGATTCAATTTTCCGTGACTGTTCTGGAAAACCTGGACACTGGTTTAGATATTCAAATGGGAGCTGACCCAGTCACAGAGTATTTCTAGCAAGGTGTTATTAAATTTGACCTGCTTTTCAAAACAATGCATCCTTCCAGACCTAGGTGCCTGGATATATTAGCTGATATGTGAAGAAAATGACTGGGCAGAACCTCATTTGTAAGTTTACTTAAGAGCTACTCAGTATTCTGACCTGATATTTCCTCATTTTTTCCAGTGAAATACTGTTTCTTTCATCAGTTTTGCCTTTTTTTGTTGTTGTTGTTCTTTGAAAAAGGAATACTAGCCTATACAGACCTGGAGATAGTTGATACATTAATGAATAGGACACAGAGGACATTTGTTCAAACTTCTGTGTGTCTTTTTCCCTGTATGAATTTCATGACTACACTGACACTGCTTCATTCACTGAAGAGGACATGTTAAGTGTTCATGGACACTATAAGTCAGCTAAACATATCTAGTACTTTCTATTCTAAACCCACAGTTTTAAAGTTTGCAGTTTTTACTACTTAAACATGCAAGTGGGCCAAAATAATATTAGTGCAACCTCTGACAGTTTTACCCCTTAGTCCCCTAAATGAGAGCCATCTCATACAAGTTTTGGCAGGAGACAAAGACAGCGAGCCCATGAGAAAACTCACTAGGCCATTAATCACTTTGTATTCGGAATGAGGCTAACACGTTACTCAAGAGATGATGCTTAAAGACACACACTGACTGAGGAAAGTGAAAAATAAATGTTGAATAGAACTGCCCATTAATCAAACGCTGTCTGACCTGTTTGGTGAATGAAGTAGTGTGCCTTGAATAAAAATAGTGAAAATCACATCCCCAGACAGCTACCAAAAAGCGACTGAGTAGAATTTTGTTCTGTCCTGATCAGTATTTAGCAATCAGCTTAAGTAACCTTAATAAGGGTCTTTGGAGAAGAAAGCAGGAGGGATGATTGCTTTTTGAAGGTAATAGAAAAGCTATCAAAGCTGTTAGTCTACTCCCCCTTTGAATGAAAACCAGAGTAAAAAGTATTCGAGTTCCTCCAAATGGAGCTTAATTGTTAAGCCTTTTGTTCCTGTACTTCTGATTCACCTCTGATTGAAATTATTCCAGGTGGGCTAAGACATAGCAGTGACTACTTCCAGCTTTGCTTAAACGGTGGTATAGGGGAATATCTGCTGGTGGGAGTAAACAGTAGGCTGCAGTCAGGCCATCACCTATTTAGTGGGACAGGAATCAACCTAGTGGTGATGGTCAGGCATGAAGATCATCAACCAATGTTCAGTAGATGTCCCTGAGGAGACTGGGTTAGTGTCCAAGACTTCACTAACCGGAACCAGCTCAAATGTGAACTCTCTCTGCCCCATGCTTCAATCGACAGGAAGATTAACCCAGTGGGAATAACCATGCCACAGAGAGGCATTAAACTTTGAACAAGACCTAGTACCCTATGGCAGTGAAAGAAAATTATCCTCAAATAGTCTGCCCTATTTTGTTCTCATAGCTATTGCTATTATTGTTACTATTTTTGTCAATTTTAATTTTTTTTTTACTTTTATGGTTTATTAATACCACTTATTTTCTATTATTTAATATATGTTCAGACATATTCCTAACTTTCTTGTGATTTCCAGGGGAATTTATTGGAAAATAATGGTTCAACACTTTCCTATATCCTGTGCCATTACTTTAGGCATAAGGAAATAACTTTCTTATACTGATGCATGACTGTAGAACTCTCACTGTACTCACTTTTCCTTAAATAACTTCCTTGCAAGACCCATGTTCTGTCTGCTTTTTACCTATTTCAAACCAGATATCTCCTAAAATCTGCCCCATTCAGGCGTCTGCAAGGTCAAAATGTTTGCATAAATGGGAGGCCAGGAATTGATGCAATGAGTCAAACCCTGGTCTCATTTACACCTGTACTGAATGCAATCTCTTCTCTGTGATGTGACTGTGATTGTGCCTAATTTCTGAATCTCAGGAAGTTCTGGGTCAGGTACATTGCCGGTATGTATTTATCTGATTCCTGGCATGCACTATTTTTGAAACAGCTTAGCAATGGTTCTCTGAGTGATTTAGTGTAATGGGGAAGAGAAACTGAAGAAAGAATTATTCTGTGGGGGAAAAAATATGTGTCTTGTAGAAATGCCATTTTCAGAGCTCGAGATATGGTGGTTAAGCATAAATACCACATAAATGCTTCTTCTCCAAGCTCTGTAGTTATTCCTCAGTGGGAGGCGGAGAGATGCAGGGAAATTTTTTCCAAGCTAGCCCCACTGTAAACCAAGTAGTTACAACTGAAAATGGGTTGAAGATTGGAGCTTTTGGTAGTTACAGGGATTTCATTTTGATTTACAAAGACTTCTTGTAGACTCAAGTGTGTGACTGAACTACTTTTCTTCTCTTTGAAGCCACTACTTAGCTACTCAGATATCAAAATATGGCACTCAGCAATGGAAAATACAGGGCTGTTCTTTTGTAATTTTCTTACTCATTTTCACATGACCACAGATTTCTGTTCTGAAAGAGTCAGGGTTTGATTTTTGAGAGCAACAGATGCTTCAAATTCATTTTGCACATCATTTGGGAGCACAGTTGTTTTGACAAATGTGTATCTTCTGTGATCACATGGTTATAACATGTAAGGACCAATACCCACCTTGCAAAGTTAACACTAAAATGGCTGGAAGAGCATAACAGCCAGCAGGAAGGACTGTCTGCAAGACTATCTGCCTTTTCACAGCTAAATCTTAGGAGTAACTTGGTATAAGAGTAACTTGGTACATACCAGCATGAGAGGAGAATTAGACCCAGTGTAAGCACTGATGTGTTGCATAGGTCAACTGTGATGTCATTTTCCTTTTTGCATTCTGCCCTATAAATATAATGAAAAACTGTGAGGGAACCACTCTTTTCTCAGTGCCAATTGTTGATCATCAGGAAGGGTGATTCAGCATTCCATCATCAGTAATAAAAGCACAAAGCCACAGAAGTCAATATTGGTTTGGGCATGTGTAATTGAAAAGAAGCTGTAACTGAAAAAATCCTCACAGCACACTAATCCAAGTGCAACCATGCAGGAAGAAGAAACCAAACAGACGTGTTCTTCTAAGAAATCCTGAGTTTGCTAGGAAAAAATACCCCAGAAAAGAAAAGAGAAGGAAAGGATGTCTGGACACACTGAAAGGGGGTTGAAAGGGGCAATGAGTGGGGACCAGGAGCTGACCCCACTCCCTTGAAGTCCCTTGGACACTCCTCACACTCAACCCCATTCAGTCCCTATCTCTCCAGCAGTCTCTGTAGGAAGGTGGGGAGGATCTGGGTTCCCTGTCCTAAAGGGAGCTGACAGGTGAAACATCTGAGCCTGGCTCACCGCAACAGCCCATGGCTACCTCAGCCTGCCTCATCTGGCTTGGAAAAGTGGCCACTTCAGACACCTCGTCCTCTGAAAGTGAACACAAGGCTTTGGCACCACTTGATGAAACCTTCCCTGAAGTGCTTCTTTCTGAGGTCACTTCACTGAATGAAACTGGCAGCAGGTACATGGCTTTGACTATTCAAATAACCAACAAATTTAATGAGTACTTTCAGATGCAGGATCCTTCTGACTAATATTTATCATGTCTGACTAATGAGGGCTGGTTAAAATGTCAAGAGTTTTTAGGGTTTTTTATTACCTCATTTCATACTTACTCTCACAGTAGATATAATGAACAGATACATTGTTTACTTGTTCTGTTTATGCAGTCCTGCAGGAATAAAAGAGTTGCTGCAGCATCACTGCTCCTGCATAGTTTAGGAAGTGTTATGGTTGTATGAATAAAAGTGACTGTTCTTGCCTGGAAGAAGGCAGACTTGGGTCTGTAATTTAAACATAGGGCCTCACTGAAGCTAATGCAGAGCTACTGTTGGCCTAGTGGGAGAATTCTACTTCTTAAAGCAAAATTTCTTCTGTAGCTCCCCTAGATGTGACATATAACTTTTCCACTGTCAAGGGAGGAGAGCACTGTCAAACTTGTGGCACCCTCACTGCTCCACTCAGGGACATGCAAAGAGCCCTTCCTGCCCCCTCTGAGCTCTGGCCCAAGATGGTGAGAGCAGCAGTCCCTGGGAGAAATTGTCAGTATTGCTCTGAGCATGTGTAATTGAAAAGAAACTACAACTCAAAAAAAAAAATCTTCACAGCACACTTATCAAGTGCAACCACACAGGGAAAAGCAACCATACAAATAGGAATGTGTTTGCCTATGGGTGAGCAATGGCAAGGGAGCTGGGTTAACCCTTTCACATGTGCCTGGAGGTACCTCTCACCCACAAAACCTGGGCCTCTACTGGTGGCCCAACTCCCCAGAGCTGCTCCAGAGCCCAGGTGCTCCTTCAGTGGCTCCCTCAGCCATGCACAGCCATGCCAAGACCTCCCAAAATAACAAAGAGTTTTGCTTGGTGTTCAAGAGGCAGAGACACTGTTGGTCAGATTATCATATAGCAGAGTATAGTCCAATATGTATCTAAAGGCAGCAGCTTGGGAAGGAGACTGGAGGGAAATTGCCTAAAATGGAGAGACAATGGGTGCACGAACGCACGTTTTTAAAAGTAGGTAAGGCAAAGAATGCTGTCAATATCTGCTCTGCTGCAACTGACCCGTCAGTTCTTTCAGGTCACTTGTTTCAGTGGATGGAAACTATTGATTTTGTCTAATTCAATCTTTGCCGTGCATTTCACAGGGACAAACGCTAAGCACGGACTGCGCTGTAAGGCTTGTAAGATGAGCATCCACCACAAGTGCGCAGACAGCATCGGACAGCAGCGCTGCATGGGCAAGCTGGTAAGTGAGCAGCCCAGGGCAGCTTGTGCTGGAGCCACTTTCTTTGTGTGCCTGAACCCCAGGTGTGCATTTAGCTGCTGCATTAACAGAACCCACACCAGATCACTTTATTGAGGTGGGAAAAATGAAGCCAGGTGGTGCCCTGTTGTCAATTTGGGCAACTGCTGCTGCACAAGAATGCAAACAAAACCAAAGCACAAATCTGATCTTCTTTGTGGATGTGAAAATACAGTTACAGAATACAAATTTAGCTAGCTAACAAAATTAATTACATTGATTTCAGCTGTGCTTGCTGTAGTGTAAACCTCTCAAAGAATGCTATAAATTAATCATAATATTTCAGTAGGGCTTAACAAATGAAAAATCCTTCAAATTATGTTTTATTGTTTTCTCTGCTGTTAGAGATTGAATAAAAAAGAATAATTCACCTTAAAAAAAACCCCAAAGGATATTTCACAGTAAGACACTACAGAATTTGAAGCAAGCTCTCAGCAGGAGAGCCTGGGAGAAGCCTGCCTCTATATGGACACATCACTTTAGTGCCTGGGTTGTCTTCTGAGCAGCAAAATCTCATGCCTGGCAATGACAGTACACCATGTATGAGATAATTCTAACCCACCTTGTTCACTTTTACAGGAATATGGTTCCTTTTGGTTACTTTTGGCAAAAGAACTTGTAAAAAAACCAATTAGAATATGAAAGGCAAATACATAGATTCATGTTTCAGATGTTCTCTGATTTGTTGCAACTTGAAGGCACTTGAGACAACTATGAGCTAAAAGCAAACAAGTTTTACTGTGTTAAGTGATGGGAAAATGCAAGCACTGACTTCAAAAGTGCTACAAACCCCACCTTGCACTGGAAAGATCTTTTCCACACAAGAGTGTTCACTGAAAGCTATTGTTGCTTACATCCCTGAGGCAAGTCTTTATGTATCTAAACCATGATCATAGTTCTAGTATGAGGCATTCTGGTACAGGAAGTTGGTCTGTGAAGGGCTCAATGACAAGCCCTGGACAAGGCAAATATTATCCCATGTTAATTGATTCATGCATTTCTTGATTCCAGCCTCAGGTCTTGTCATTATCAGTTTACAAAAACAAAGAAATAGAGACCAAATTTACGTCAGGAAGTTGTCAGCATAGTCACAGGAGTTTTGTGAGTTCATGCTGATGCTCTGTCTGAATCTAGCTTGGGGGTAAATAAAGGCTGAAGAATCTGGAATTTATTCCTCTAAAACTCCAAGATTATCAGTCCCTTCAGTCTTTTTCAGTCTTTTCTGCAGCTCAGTACCTAAAGAACTAGTTGTCTATCAGGTTTTGAGGTACACTGAACAGAGGATATGGAATATATGCACATCTCTGCGAATCTTCCTCACTTCTCACTGTGACTAGAAGTTCTCACAGACTGCAGACATTGGAAATCAGAGACCATTTGTGAAATTCCAGTGCCTTGAAAGCATTAATTTGGAGTACTAAGCATTTGCCTGAATTGAGATACATTTTTTAGAGTGGAATAGACACCATTTTTTTCCATATTATGGTATTCTTTAATAATAACTTGAATTGTTATGGTGCATTTCTCTACAGGGGGATACTGAGAATACCTGGTAACAGGTTGGAGAGCTTTTTGACCTTACAAGAGAAAAGAAAAAAAAAAAAAACCACAAAAAATCAAACCAGAAGTGGAAGCTGCAGTCAGTCAGTAGTAAACCTTAGAAAAACCTGTAGAAAGGTTCTAAATTCCTTGGGTTTCACATGTGCATATGTGGGACATCAGGATTTGGAGTTAGGATGAAGAAGGATAGTCATATGTTTAACAAATACAACACAATGCAAATTCACATTATATAAGATAGGGAAACTTCCTAGAACCTCTAATGATTCAGCAATTCTGCTGCAATTAAGTAGTGCTGCTTTTGTGAAAGTCAAAAGAGAAAGGAAAGCTGAAAATGAGCCCCAGCTTGTACATAAATATATGAAACTGATTTTTTTCTAGGAGAAAAATCAAACATCTAATCTCTAAACCTCACAGTGACTGAACAACAGGAGGCAAATTTCCAGCCTCACCACAATGTTCCACCATTAACCAAAGAGCTGAGGCTATTTCTACTTCAACAGTCAAGGCAGGCAATGCACTTCACTTGTTTTTGCTTTTTCTCCCCCCAGCCAAAGGGATTTCGACGGTACTACAGCTCACCACTGCTCATCCACGAACAGTTTGGCTGCATCAAAGAAGTGATGCCTATTGGTAGGTTTTGACTGCTTTTCCATTCAGTCTTCCTTTGGCAATGCTCTGCAACAGCAGCGGCAGACTTCCAGCCATGGTCTTTACCCTCAGCAGCCGTCCAGCTCCTTTCGGTGACTGGATGCCCTTCTGCCATCTCAGGAAAGGACCACTTCAAAGATACAAAGCTGGAAGAGGAGAGGGTGTGTTCATTGTGTGTTTCACTCAAAACCCTGTATGCATACCTCTTAGCAATTAGACTGTTTATAACAATGACTACCTGAGATCAAGGTAGGAACTCAGAAGTGAAGAAACACTGAAATATGGAGATAAGGGTGTGAGCCTGGGAAAGAATAGATTAAAAAAAGGGGGATCAGAACAGCAGGAGGCATTGAAATCACTGGTCCAGCTTTTGAGGGATGCTTTTTCATCCATATTTCTTACTTTCCTCATATTGTTTTCTTTACTGATTATATCTACATGTTGTCTGAGTTCTTAAAAGACCACTTTTTCCTCCCTGTAATACCAAATTTCTAAAGAGAAACATTTTGAAATGGAGAAGCTAAGTTTATTCTGGAAAATATTTTTCCTAACCAGGCAGACCTGGAAGTGCAAAAAAATAAGAGCTAAAACTGGTAGTCAGTTTAAAACTACTTGTCTGATGACATTTGCATTGTTACTGTCAGCAGTTTAAACAAACAAAAATTCATCTGAGTTTCTCTTTCTAAAAAACACCTACCATTTTTATCAGAAGTAATAGAAGCACTTTCAATAAACTTTGGCTAAAAATATGAGATGTGCTTTGCTATTACCAAAATCCAAAATCTATTGTATTTTCTCAGTACTTTGGCTAAAATTTCCTTCCTTCTGCATAGTGCTACAAATGTGTCATAATCTTCATGCCCACGGCCTTGTGTCACAAGGGAAGTTGAGGTCCAAAAATACAATATGTAGAAGAGAGTTTGAACTGAATTTTCTTGTTCCCAGTGAAGACATCCATTTCTCTTGCATGGGAGTTGATTTTTGTGGCTAGCTAAGAGGGAGAGCTGCTGTTGAGAGTGATCCAAGAAGTCACTGGTAGAGACAAACATGGATTAGAACCTCCTAGTATTTTGTCTTCCTTACCTCCACACAGGCAGCACCAGTGATGATTAGAGAAGGAGAATATCAGGTGAAGAGAGACAAGGCAATGGCCAAGAACTGAAGAGCCATTATAAGAGGATGATCTTTATGGGAGTAGAGAGGCAGCAGAATATTGACAGCAATTCCGTTAAGTTCAACACTCACTTTTTACCAGGATATTCTCTCAAATTGTTTCTGAGCATACAGCTCAACCTCTTGGTAGAGGCAGGTGTTGCTCCAAGTTAAGCAGGAACATGATCAGAAATATTCTCAAGGTATTGATTGATACATGTTTTGTTCCTTCTGTTGCAGCCTGTGGAAATAAGGTTGACCCTGTGTACGAAACTCTCCGCTTTGGGACTTCTTTAGCCCAGAAAACCAAAAAGGGAAGTTCTGGAAGTGGGTCTGATTCTCCTAACAGAAACTCTGTAAGTATCCCACATCTTTCTTCCATTTTCTTTCTGGAACAACAAATATTCATTCACATGAGCTTCTGCTGGAGTTCACAAAACTCGTATTTCAAAATGCAAAAAAACCCTAAAATCTTATTCTCGTGTTCTGTATTGAGACCAGAAAACTAGTTATTTTTGCAAATTTTATGTATCTTTTAGATGACTGCTGAGAAAAAGAGAAAAGTACTAATTAAATTAGTGAACTGTTTTTATCAGATTGGAAAAGGAAATATTAATGTTTTTATTTTGCATGTCCACACAGAAGTGTAACAGAGATGTTGAACTGTCAGGCTGAAGTAGATGCATAGTGATATTTGCCCTTCATACAAGTGATAATGATGAGTTGGAGTCCTCAAAACCTAGATTTAAAAGTACATGACCCCAGTATAAGCCCAGACAAAATTAAGACATTGCTACTGCAACAAAGTAAGGGACTGGGACCTCCACCTCTGTCTGCTGCAGAATCCTAAGGGAGGCATTACAGATCCTTCTCTCTCCAAACCCTGAATATAGACAGGTGTGCTCAGGTTGTTGTATCCAGACAGGGAGGTTTTGGCCTTAATGATAATGTTTGTCATTCACTCTCTCCAATCATAAAAGTCACTTTCTTCAGGACCATGGTAGAAGAGGTGGAGAACAAGGGAATGGATAGTTCCCTTGACCCTGTCTCTGCTACACCCATACCTTGTTCAACAGTAACATTGGCAATTTCTTCCTTACAGAAATGGTTATTTATCCCAGTATTGAGACCCATGAGATCAGAAGGTCCTTCATGGTGTTAAAGGAACATTTCCTACCCCCTCAGCCTCTCATAAACAGGTGCTTACACCTAATGTTTGAGGTCTTCTTCCATTCCCAAGAGAGCCTCCCCACCAGAAAAAAACAACAAAAAACAAAAACAAACAAAAAAATAAAAAAAACCACCACACCTGAATCCACTGGAGGCTAAAGCTGGTTGTCATCTTCAGAAATCAGACCCACATTATATGACAATCTCTTCTGAGCACATCTCATAAGACAAATCACTGGGCACAGAGACATGATGAGAGTTGGTCTCTCAGTCTCAAAGCAAATACTTATGTGTTTAATACCAAGCCATGCTAATATATGTTTGTCTGTTTAATATCTGTAATATCTTTGTTACATTTCCCTGGTTTTTAAATGCATGGTCACTCACACAGCTGACCTGTAATCTCAGATGGTATAGGTGGACTCTAAGCAGACATTAATTCATGTCAGACAGGAAAGACAAACTAATTAAAGAAAGAATTAAGTGAAGTCTGCAAGGAGTTTATTAAGGGACATGTCCTCTATCCACCCCCATTTGTGCTTTAAAAGGAATTTGCTAATTCTCTTTTCTTTTTTTTAAACCCAGAGTGACTCTACCTTCTGTCGCATTATTACATTTCTTTCTTTCAATTATTTAATTTCCTTTGAAACAAAATTTCTATAAATGTAATTATTGCTTTCTAAATCAATAACGTTTATGTTGAATTATAAATGAAGACTCAAGCGTAGAAATGACTAATGCTGTGTCAGCTTACTCTAGGGATCTGATCATAACTAGGTGGGGTGTGGGTGTAGAATTAGGAACACAAGTTCATTACAGGAATTTCTCCAGGGTATTGAAGCTGAGAGAGATTGTAGCATGTGTCAGCATACAGGAAATAGAACACTTTAGAGAATTGAATAAACAGACCTGAGAAACCATACATTTTGCCAGCACAAGCTTGTGGATTGAGACAAGGATAAAAAAACAGGGTAGACACAACCCTGAACAAGATGAAGGAACTGCGGTCCTTTAAAAGTGATGTGTGACCTGGGAGAACGGACCAGTGACTGCAATTGGGATGTGGCACAGAGCCTTTAGAAGCACGTGTTGTTAGTAACTCAGAGGGACTATGACCTTTCCCCAGAGATAGTCACCTCTGGGCTGCTCTGCTCCTCTCCAAGCAGAAGCAGCAATTCAGCTGTGAGGCTGTGCTGAGTCCCATCCCCGGGAGAAGGAACGTGCCTCAAGGTTCTGCCATGTCACCAAACTAGGGGCACCAGGGACATGGAGACACCTGGGACACTGCTTCACCTTGCAGGTGGTGTCCAAGCTGTCCAATGCCTCTCTCTGGGTCAGCAGAGCTGCTCCTGCTGAAGGTGGTGAAAAGCAAAGGTGACTGGCCTAGGGGCTGTACCTTGCCCCTACAGCCATGAAGCTTCCATACTGCAAGCAGTTCATGTCTCTGCAGAGAGTAGAGACAACCACCTTCCTCTAAACTAGCCAAAGTATTTTTAACATGACTGAGCTCTGTGGACGTACTCACTGATTTTTCCGCCCGGATTCTGCATTTCCCATAAAAGAAAGAGGCCATATGCTCCAGATTTACTACCTACTGCTTGCTTCAAAACTGTGCTTCTGCAACCCACATTTATACAAAAAGGCACTTGAGGTGATGTAAATGTGAATCCAGTTCTTGTTAGTTTTTTTGTGGATTAGCTCCTCTCAAAAGCAGCTTTGCACCTCTATCATTTCTATTAGACCATTTGTCATGTAGTCATTCAGTGAAAAATCATTAAAGGTAAATGAGGTTGCCTCAGAAGGATTTGGATGAGCAATATACTGAATAGACAGTCACCACACATCCCATATGCACTAGAACTTAACAAAATAACATTAATTGCTAAGCAGCAATAATGAAGATAGTCTATGAAAATTGAGGAATATGCTGTAACACTGAACTGAAAAACAGCTGGGACTTAGTCTTTCAACAAAGCCAGTCTTTCTCTTCTCCACCCAGCAATCAGAATCCATAGATATGCTTTACACTGGACCTGTGTAAATTTTATTATTGCAGTGCCTTCTCATCCTCTGGTGACCTATTTGGGCAAGATGCAAGACAATATGACCTGCTGCAAAAGGCTGAGTCTAAAAACAAGGAGCAACAGAACAGCAAAGTATATATTCTTAAAATAGCAAGGAAAACAAGACACCGGTGGCATAAGTCTCCTTTCAACCCCTTTGTTTATTGGTTTCCTTCATGGAGAAGTAGCTAGGAAAGTACTAGATAGGAGAAATAAAATTGTGAAAGTACTTTCTAAAGAAAGCTTTGCTGTCAACACCAGTAAAAAGGAAAGAAACTATGTGAAATCTATAAAGCAATTCAGATTCTGCTCCCTAAACAAAAACAGGAGTGTTCCTGTGATGCAGGCCCTGGACTGAAAAGCAATAGAGCAAGCTGTGTGTACAGTGCAATTGTAAAGTGTCATGCAATAACATTAAATCCTTCTTGTGACTTAAAATTTGTGAGCTAGAAACAAACTAAACTTAGGAACAATGTAAGTATTTACATTTATTCAGATTACCAAAAGCACCTGACTCAAGTTCAGTCTTTGGGTTTCTTCTGGTTATGAAAGATGTAAAGAGTTCAATGACTGAGGTTTTGTTAAGTTGCACAGAGTTGTTTGGAGCAGCTCCTCATTCCTGCTGGGCTATACTAGGAGAAGCTGACTACCCAACCAAGGAATCTGGTGCCAAATGCAGAGTATACTTCTGAGGCTTGAGATTATGTCATCTCATGTTTTCTTACATCCTGGAACACTGGGTCCCTAATCATGACTGACATTAATATGGTACAAAGAAGAAATCATAGTAATTCTAAAAGCAGCACTTAGGTTTCAATTTCCCTAACCATACTGGCCAGATGGCTGTTTTAAAAGAAAGTGAGGGCAGATATTTAAAGACTGACTTCATCCACTCCATTGCACTCTAGCTCTTTCTTTTACAGCATTTTAACAGAATTAAAATGACCTTTACATTACTGTTTAACATAATCCTTTGTTCCTTAACTTTCATTTTATTTTATACTGCAGAAAACTTTTGTGCTCCAGACTGCAAACTTGGTCTGGAATTTTTTTTCTGGGCTTTCACTGCTCTCTGTGCAGTAGGTATGTGTTGTGCATCACCACATCCAATGTTTCCTTCCATCCCATTAGGCTGACTCTGCTCTCCTCTGACACCACTCAAGTACTGAATTTCCCAAAGACCCTTGCTGTGGTTTTATTTCATTCCATCAGTCCATTTTTCTGGCTTAACCCGTCTCGTTTGCTGTTTCTGTCCCTGCAGACAGCTGACCTGGTAGAAGTTCCGGAGGAAGCCAATAGCTCTGCAGGCACCCTTGACATAAGCAGAAAACGCAGCAACAGCGGTGAGTGCCCCCAGGCCAGGACAGCACCTTCAGGTGTAAAGCCCCATGTGCAGCCTGTTTCAGGTGGGGGGTTATGGCATGTCCAGGTTTAGCAGTGTTCTGGTTTTCAGAGCAGGAGGTGAGTTGGTACAAGGATTTGAGGAATGCTTTTTTTGCCATTCAGATGAAATCGAAGCCACCACTTTCCTTAATGTGGTGTGTCCAAAACTGCTACTGGACAAGGTTCAGGTCCATTGCCTATCACATCTTTACTTCATAATCATGACTGTAGACTTAACATGCTTCACTTCCACGCTGGCAAAACAGAACCAAAAAAATACTTTCTTTTCCATACGTTTGATTTTTCTGCATGATTTTGTATATCACAACCTCTTTGGGACAGAAAATGAATCATAACAGATCTTCACATCTGTAAAATACAGAATGCAGTGAATTTTGATTATAATTGCAGCTGCTCAGTACAACTGTAGTATGTGCTCAGAAATATTAATGGCCCAATTCCTTCATTTGATTTGCAGTACAAAAGTAACATTTTTTTACAGCATTGGCTTGATGAGATTTGAAAAGCAGCATAGCATCAAAAGTTTAGTAATGAAATCTCATCCACCAAGAATTGGTGTTTGTGACCCTGTTCTTGAATTCAGTCATGATGGTGGAAGTCATAAGCAAAAAGAGTTATTGCTCAGCACAATTTCAGGCTCAAACCATCAGGACAACTTCTCTAGCAGCACCTGAAATCTCCTTTGCTGAATCTCACAAGATGTACAGAACAGAAACAAACCACAATGAGCATAACTTTTTTCTTCATGGTACCCCCAGTGCTCCTTACATACTGCTACCAATTCATGTAGGTAAAAGGCCAGCTTCAGCTGTCTGTTTCTATATTACACCACCTCTTTATTCCTTTCCTCCCCTCTTGATCCTATCACCTCTCCTCACTGTGTTGTCATTTCCTTCCTCTTGTTTTGTGAATGTCTCATCCATATTATCTGATTTCTCCTAAAATATTTAAATTTTCTGTCTTGCAAGGGCAAGTTGACCTGACCTGGTTAGAGAATTTAGTCTGCACCACATTGTTTAATCCTGCCCACCTGAGATTAAATCAACCCTGTTTGAATGTTCAGATGACTTTTTATTCCTTTGCAAGTCAATACTTTCATTTCTGAAACCTTGAGAAACTTTTTTTTTTCTTTGAGATAGTATTCACTGAATGCACAGAAAAGCATTCAAGGAACATACTTAAAGAGATTAGTTTAAAAACTCAGCATGTGTCAAACCTCCAAATAACTTCCACGACACATTAACAATTCCTTTGATCAGCACTGGCTTTTTTACAATCCATCCTTTAGAGGCTCAGAATATAAATTATGCATCAGTCATTCCAAAAATTTTCTCTTGGTAGAGTTTTAATAAACTGCCTGCACTGTTTCCACAAGCTATGGAAATGGTAAAATCATTTTCAGAGTGCAAAAATCCCTGGGTTTTTTTTCCTTTTTTTTTTTTTATTTTTTTTTTAATTTTTTTTATTTTCTTTTGTCTGCTGATGCTAGGGCAAACAAATATGAAAATAGATTGATTTCTGTTGGGTGGAGATATGAGCAACATACCTCTATGGCCTTCTTGAAGTGCCTTCTATTAACATCCAGAGACCAAGAATTAAACATAGATTAAAAATTTAAGTACATTAAAAATGGTTTTACAAAGTGACTCATGACTCCTTTTTCCTCAGTTGTCCACTGCCTCTTTATCAGGAAGTTCCACATTAATGCCTGGATGACTCAGGTCCATTCTGGTTGAGTTTGTGTTGTTTGGTTTTTTTCCTATTAAAATACCATTCTGTAAATAAGTATTTAGGAAAATGTACATTTGATGCTCTTTGGTAAAGGGAAACAGCAGAAAAGACAGCCTCCAGAAAAGGTAAAAGGACCTGGTAAAAGGACCCAGCACATGTGTGGCCATGCAATTTTCCTTGTAGAACTCCTATGACAACAACTTCAAGGGGAGATTCTTTCATTCAGGCCCTGGCATAAATCTTATGAAGCAAAGCTCCCCAGTTTACATCTGGGGATCACAGTGAGATGATGGCATACCTAATTTCCAGCTCTTCAGCCTCCTCTAAATCAGTTACACTCTCACTGCTGTGAACTGCTGTCTGTAAGAGAAGTCCCAAAAGCCATACTGTACTTTAAGTGACATCTGTGAGCCTGTTATCAACAGTGATTTGAGCATTTTCCCCTTGAATCAAATATGGGATGTCCTCCCTGCAAAGCCAGTTTTGGTGAGCACTTCTCAGCCATCAAAAGGATACAGTTCAGCTCCCTCCCCATGTGCTGGGTCAGCTCCACAGTTCATGAGGCTGTGCTTTAGTAACTTGCTTTATTTTCTCTCACCAAACAGGAATTACTTCAAACATGGTGCTGAAATACTTTTACTTCATCTGGTGAATGACTTTATGCAAGTCCAAAAGGCTCTAGGTTACCCAACTCAGTATTCACCAGAACATCTTCAATTTGCCTCCTAACTCCTGTTCTTCTGAATATGAAAAACAAAGCATAGTGATTTTAATAGGACTTAAACACTGTCAAATTGTAATAGCAACACTTTAAACTCCTTTCTACAGATGCCAGACATATATATATATATATCCCCCTATATTAATGATACAGGAAATTAGGTTTATTTCTAAGGTTTTCCTTCTGATACCTGTGATGGTCTGCAGGGTCAGAGTCCCTTTGCAACAGGACTTAGTGAGGAGCATATTGAGGCCCCAGGTCTGCTGCAGTCAGGACAGCCTGACACAACTTGTGGCATTTTCATGTTAAGCGTGGCAGGTATCATCTCTCATGCTCCCTTCACATTCACAGATTGAACTTTATGACTGCAGCATTGTCTTACATTTTGTCAGAGAAGTGCTTATAAATGCCTGTCACCTTGCACAAAATCTTTCTCGTACATGTTGTGGCTGCCGTTTAGCTTGTCTTTTATCTGTTACAAGAACAGTGTCATGTTTTTCAATATCCAAGTACAACTCTCTGCTATCAAGCAACCTTACTGTTTCCCTCATAAAGCTTCTCCAATTCTCAACCTGTTAGGTTGTCAACTACCATGTAAACTAGTCCCAGAAATATGTGTTTGTGAAGGAAAGGATGGGCAAGTGAAGGAATGGAGGTGATCTTGTTAAGGTGAAGAGTCTTAAACTACTCCTAAAATGTCATGTGTTTTCTTTATTTCAGTGTTTACATACTCTGAAAACGGCACAGAACACTTTGGAGAAGAACCAAAAAGTATACATTCCCCGGTATGAACATAGATTTTGTGATGATGCAATGGTAATGGGAACTCATGTAAAACTCCTGTTTTTATGGCTGTCTGAGGACCTTGACTAGGTCTGATGGGTCACTGATTTCTGACTGTCCTGTTCTTACACCATTTCTGGGCCTCTGGCCATGGCTGGAAGCAATATACATTCCTGAATGGCTTTTTGGTTTTTCCTTTGTCATCACTGTGTTTTTCTGCTTACTGCAAATTGATTTGGGAATACAAAAGACCCAGTGTGCAGTCCATGTAATTACAATAGAACTGCCATAATGTAAAAATCACAATTTGATTTTGAAAATTATTAAATGTTTGTTCTAGCTGCTTTTTTCCCCTCAGAATAACAGTGGAAAAAGCAAGAAGAGAGAATAGCTAGTCTTCTCTGTTGAAAACCCAATACAAAAACCTTTCACACATTAAAATCACTTTTAAAAAGTGATTTTCCTGCTCTGAATTTGGACCTGTGCACTGTACAATTCTATCTCTGTCCATAATGAGGAGTCTAGACTAGACACATTATATAATGCCAATAATACACTTCTGGGCTCATAAGAGTTATAATATATGCTACAGAGAGAAAAAAATGCACACTCATTTTTAAGAATTGTCCCAAAGACCAGCCAGTGCAAATTTCTGCTTGTATTCTTTGGAAGCCTGGAATTTGATCCTGGAGTTCAAGTAATCTTCTTTCTAAATTAAGATAGTTACTGCCTTAATGGCCTGCAATGTACCTGGGCCATAGTCCTCCAAGCTGTGAGAACAGAAAGATGATTCTGGCTAATTTATTGTAATACCAGGATCTGTTTCCTCTGTCTGTAACAAAGCAAGCCAAATTCCTTTACAGAGCAGATATTTAAATTTTCTCTTTCTCTTTTTTTTTTAAAGGGATCATTTTATAAAAGCACGTTACAAATGAACACCTATGTTGCCTTGTACAAATTTGTACCACAAGAAAATGAAGACTTGGAGATGAGGTAAACTCCAAAATATTTGTTAGTTGATTTGACACATTTGCACTGATGGTCATATGGTTACATGTGACTTTGAGGAAGGGAGAGTTTCTTCTGACATTTTTAACAGACATTTTTTATAGAGGCAACCATCTAGATACAAAGACGTTCTCGCTGTTAAAAAGAATAGATGGCAAATTCTTTTGGCAAGGATACAATAGATTAAAAGTTTCAAAAATACTTATATCACTTTAGGAGCAAGACAGCTTTCAGCTATAAAATCTTCTTAGTTGCTTTGTTTTTCAGTCAGAAGTTTTCAGCTAGGAATTCTCCACCAGATCTCATGCTAATGCTAAAAATTTTACCAGTCCTGTTTGATCCTCTCTCTTATTCAGTCATGTCTGAAAAAAGAGAATGGTGTCCAGCTGCTGGATGGCAGTGTTTTCACATGAGAACTTTGCAAAATAACCTTGTTAATTGCTATTTTTAGCACTTATTTCCTCTGCATCAGTTGCTTGCATTACAAGGCTTAATCCAAGCCCACTGAAGGAAAAACAACTTTTCTTTCATTGAAATTATTTTGTTCATGCTACTCACATTTTGCATGAGTCTTGCTAGAGATCATACTGTGAAACATGTCACCTGTCTTCAAGGTATCCCTATACCAAAATAATCATGCGTGTGCCACAGAATTTAAGGAATTGACAGAGAAATGCCCCTCTCCTCAGCACCTCAACACTGAAAGCCTTTCTCCTGTTGCCAGTTGTGCCTTCTCACTGCTCTGGAACTAAAAGGCAGGATGTAATGGAGAAATTACAAGTTTTCCTATCATTCTGCTTTACTGGAATTTCCTGATCATTATTTTAGGAATGTCAGCTCTTCAGAAAATAACCTCAGTATATGAGAACCTTTAGTGAAACTTGCCAGCTATTCTGCTTGAAAGATTCCCCTTTGCATCCTGCTCTTGAGGAGTGTATTCCATCTTATGCCTTTCTTCTATGACATAGAACATCTCTCAGGCAAGCCTGCACTGGACTACCATCCTCATCCAAACACAGAAATCCAGAAAATACATCAACCTTCAAAATCCTCCTGTTCCACATTTTAGAGGGAAAACCAGCCTGTGGTCTGAAATGTGCTCTTTCAGGGGACACCAGGCTCTTTCCAAGGATACCAGATAGGTTTTAGACTATTGGTACTCAACCACAGCAGTGCTGTTTGTCCCTCTGTCAGAAATTCAGTAATATATGTGTTAACATTGCTCCATAAGGAATGCCCAGTAGTTGGAAATGCTGTTTTGTTACTGCAAAACCAGGCAGGATCCAACTCAGTTGCATGAATTCCCATTTAGCATAGTGAGGGGCTGGAGGTGGGTTGGGCAGAGCAATGTTGTCAAGACTGACAAGCACTGTCCTGGGAACCCGAGTTAGGAACCAGCCAGGCGCTCATCAGCTCCATCACAAAAAAGAAAAATAGCAGGGGAAGAACTGAGAGGAAGAGTTAGGGCAGATTTCTGGAGTTCACAGCTCATCTCTGAGAGGATACAGTGAGGGGCAGATTACTGCAGTGAAGATGTGTAGCCCTGACTTCAGCTGAAATTAGAAGTTATTACAGCCTGAATTTCTTCCCTAACAGCAGGAGCAGTCAGTCAGATTTTCCAGTGCTCTGGCATAAGTAAAATAGTAGGACATTGCAGTAATACACTTATTCTAAGAGATAGCCTTACAAGAGTGAATCCTGAAGACAAGCAACCCCATGTTCCAGACACTGCAGAGAATGGAATGGAATGGGAATAGGAATAGAGAATAGAATAGAATAGAATAGAATAGAATAGAATAGAATAGAATAGAATAGAATAGAAATTAGAATAGTTGGAAGGGACCTACACAAATGCTTATTTTGCCACCTCCTGAAATCCATATCACTGAGGTAGAGAAGACAACTTATCCAGGGTTGTAATTTACAGAAAAAAAGATGAGACCTGACTTATTTCAACCAGTAGTAAGAACCAAGCGGGTTGCCCCCTATCAGAAATTAGCAGCCTAAATGTAGGATGCAAAAATAACAGGTCCAGATGGGATTTCTATTTTGAATCCTTTTTGGAGATTAAAGACATCCATAATAGCTCTCTTCTAGGGAAAAAAAAACAAATTAACAAAAATTAACAAATTAACAAAATCAGCAGGCCTTCAACCTAAAATTCTCTGAGCTCAGATAAATGACAAGGGAGAAATTTTAGGTTCAATTGCCATCTTTCTCTGACAGCCAAACAGATTTATATTTTCTGGGTTATTTTTCTAACAGTGGCTGAAGACAACTGGGTTGACAAGGCCCTCTAAATCCTTCTTGTTGAAAGTGTTTTTCCTTTCAGTGTAAGGGCTCCAGTGGTGTTGGCCCCACACTATTCACTTTGAAGTTATGGGTTCCATAAAAAACCCTTTGGGTATTTAATATAAAATATTAACTGTAGTAAAGGACTCAGATATTCATTCCCATTGAAAAAATCTTTTATCACTGGGATACCAAGTTATCCATTTTGTCTGGTTTCCTTCCTCACCTCAGCAACATTAAATTATTCCAAACATATTGAGACAGGTTCTTGAGGAGGGCTTGAGGAAAATTCTGTTTTGGATTGCACAGCATTAGAAGACTAAATGCCTGTTTTTCCAGTTGTCAGCAGCAATGATAACCAATTGGGAAGTGGACCAAAGAGGCCCACCACTGACCACACCTCCAGCTGCATCCTGGACAGGTCCACGTTTCCTATGCTGATTCTGAAGGCACCTGTTAAATATGACCTGTTATCCATCATAAGAGATGCTCCAGATGTGTTTGCAGGCTCTTGTGCTGATACCTCAACAACACAGTGAGCCTAACAGGGAAAGCTGAATAATGAGGGGTCACAATTAATTTTATTTAGATCAAGAAATGTCTCTAATCCAGCAAACAGAGCTTTCTGGAGTTAATCCCTTTGGAAAGGTCTCCCACTTACTTTCTACAACATACCACTATTATAATCATGTAGGAATGTTGATTAAGTGTCACCACTTAATGGTGGGGGCGGGGGGGGAAGGTCAAATAGCTGTTCAACTACCTTCACAAATTCAGCTTAGAAAATTTTGTTATTAGTGTTTCCAGACAAATTCTTTTCCTAGCTCTGCTTTGGAACTAGTCAGTTGGATGCTGATAGTTAGCAATTACAACTCAGCACCACACGCTATAAAGGTAAATATGTCCCATTCAAATCAAAAAGACATTCTTGGGCAGAATTATATCCCTGCTGACTAATTGCCTTTGTCAGTAAAATAGAACTATTTTCCTGCTGCCTTCCTTCTGCAATCACAGCTTGAAAACACAGATGATGAATTAGTGTGTCCCAACAGTGTGAAATGTCTTAAAGTAAAGCGATAATGCATTTAACAAAGGGGGGCTGTATTTTAAACAGTTCCTTAATAAACAGGAAGCAAAACTTCCAGTTCACAGACATTGTCTCAAAACAAAGATCTAGCCCCAAGATACAGACACTCTCTTCCTACATTAGCATATGTGACTGAAGAAAACCTGGCCACTTTATTGAGTCTATCTTCAGTGAATGCTCAGAAAAAATAATCATGGAAGGACCACCTTCCTATTAGAAGGGAATTGTGGAAGCTGATTCAACATGACAATTAAGAGTCATCTTACATACTATTTCTCTTCTAATCACAGGCCAGGGGATATGATCACCCTTCTGGAAGACTCTAATGAAGACTGGTGGAAGGTATGTGCTAGTCAGTTTATATCTGTTTTCTTTCCAAAAGGAAAAAAAAAATCTTGTTTTCAATACTGAATTCATGTTAAAGCTGCTACTTAAAGTTAACAGTCTTCTACTGTCAATATGTTTCTTTCATAGGGGAGAATTGATGACAGAACTGGATATTTTCCTGCTAACTTTGTTCAGAGAGTGCAACAAAATGAGAAGATTTACAGGTGTATCAGGACATTCATTGGCTGCAAGGAACAGGGACAGATAACTCTGAAAGAGAACCAGGTAATATCCTCTGTGCTGAACCCTCACTGGAGTAGAGCATCCAGCAGTGTTACCAATGAGTGACAGGAAAATTTTGCTAGATGAGGACAGGCAGACTTTTTCACTGCAATTTTACAAGATTTATTATTTGTATGGTAACAGTGTCTAGTAGCCAGTTAAGAGCAGTGTTTGTCTTGTGCAAACACATACTCAGTGCCTAACACAGCCTGAATTTTCAGTCTCACAGACATTCAGAGTGGTGCTTTACACATTTCTCATCCTCTTACTGATTTGAGAGGGATGAGCACAGAGTCTTAGAAGTAGATCTTGTGTACCTGAAAAATGATCTGATTTTCTCCTCACCATTAGGACTAATCTAATAAAAGATTAGTTCTCCACAGACCTTAACTTACCTAAAGATCTAAGCACTGTGCATTGTCTTTGCTTCAACAGGAACAGAGTTAAGACAGCATCACACAAAGCTGTAAATCCTAAATATAACACTTGTTCACCAGTTGCAAGGTATATTTAACCCCTATTTTTTTTTTTTTTTGTGTCACCACTTAAATACCTTCTCTACAGGCTGTAATACATTTTAAGTTATAAGTGCTTCTGCGAGCTCAAGTACACTCTATACAGTGAGGACTTACAGGGTCCATTCACCCTGGTGCATTTTCAGCAGCTCCTTCTAGTTTGTGTCCTGCAGGTGGGTTCACTAGGCACACACCATGACTCAAAACCTGCATTAAGGGACAGGTTTGTGACATAAACTCATGTAATTAGGAGGATGACATACTAAGGGTGATACACAGCTGGTGTTCTCTGATATCTGGATGTAATAAAAAGGTAGATTTTTCTCACTGTACCTCGTGAAGCCCAATGCTCTTCTGCTTCTTTAGGTCTTTCCTTTCCTATGGCAACTGTGTCACATCAGAAATGTTTTTCCCTACAGCCTGAACAGTCACTGATTTTAATAAAATGGAGAAGACGTCAGAACCAGTGTGGATTTCAGGGCCATAAATTTTTCTATGCAGGACTTCTTTAACACTTCCTTCCACTGGTGGATAAGATTAACTTACAGCTTGGTTGATGATGATTTGCAACACAGCAAAACATAGAAGTGCTAACAATCCTTGGGTGCACACAGCTTTCTAAGGAAGGCACAGAGATACCATGACCAGAATATATTTTAACTACCTTGTGCAGCTCTGCAGTTTCTAGAAAGAAAGTTCTTACATTCTTTTTACACATCTCTTAATTTTTTTCTGTCTGTGCACACAGACAAAAGAAATATTACTAGAGTAGAACAAGAACTTTTGGAGGCTTTGTGTTCTAAAATAAGCAATACACAAGGGCAAAGGCAGGAAATGGTTGTGTTGGAACATGGCATGTCAGCATGAGGGAATGGTCAAGATCTGCATCACTTCTCATTAGTGGGCGTACCAGATCACCTCTGTCAGCATGGCTACTGCTGCAAGCACTGAGAGCCCAGTTGCTTGCCTCAGTCCTCACAAAACCACAGTTTCCAAGTGGGCAGCTCTGGCAGCTTCATCTAAACACAACAGCCTTCATATTGTCCCTATTTCATCATAGCATCCCAAAGGGAGCTGGGAGTCAGGGGTGTCGCATCATCTCTGGCAAGGCAGGAGGTAAAGAAAGGGATGAATCTATCCTGTCTCTGTACTACCTCCTTTTTTTTTTAGAAAACTTTTTCAGCTCTATCTCAAACCCACACAAATGCTGAGGCTGAATATGAATGCTGTTGGGTGCTCGCTCCATGTGGGAGAGGCTCCAGAGGAAGAAAGAAATAAATATTTGTTGTGAAACAGGGGGCAGAGATCAGGCTGCACAAACACATGAATGCAGAGACATGAGAAGAAAGGAGCACAGCAAACATATCCTGCCCCACTCTCATACAGATTATGCAAAAGGGAGACATTTAAGTAGCTTGAAGGCCATTTTGGGTAATTTCCAGGTGGGACAGCCACAGTGAGGTCATGGACACTCATCTGCTTCCCTCTGTTGCTCCATACAGAGAACAATTTTCTGTATTTTTTTAACAGAAGAACAACTCTACCTTCACTGTGGAAAAACTATTACAGTGAAAAACATTTTAACTGTTATTGGGAATTTTTTACTTTAAAAGTTTATTTTGTATTTCCAAAGTCCAATTTCTTCTTTCTTCAGCCATTTGTTTTCTGTTTTTATTTCTCCATTGTTTTCCATGTGAAGCAGAGAGAGAAAGATGCAATAGGGGAAGGCATGAAGGAAAAAAGCCATCTGAATGGGACTTGTGGGGAAAACTTTGGGAGAATTTATTTGTTTGTCTTTTGTTCTATTGGGAATTTCTGTGGGATGTCATCAGCCATGTTACCTGTCTCTGGGCACAGTGTGCAGAGCGCTGTGACTGCAATAGATGTACAATGTGCAAAGCACTGATTTACCAAGTAAGGGAGATTATTCATCACTACAAATCCCTGTCAAGTCTCACTTTAGCTAGAAAAACTAATTAACTGGTCTAATAAATTCCTGAGACTATAGTATGGCAAAGTTACTTCACTGAGTCACTTTCCATGTGGTCTAACAAGAGTACAGAACCATTCTGACAACAAAGGCAAGGATGATATATTAACAGAAAAACTTATCAAGTGACAATAATATGAATTTTATTTAGATTGCTTGATACTTTCAATGATTTATCCTTCAGGTCTCTGTCCCCTCATGCCCTACATGAATTTTGCTGAGTAAAAAGTCTACTCTTGTAAGGCAAAATAAATTCAGATCAACAATGCCAAGTGGCTACCCTAAGAAAAGCCATTTTAGGCAAACAGAGATTTTTCAAAGTTTGAGGCACAGTGAGTAAGACTTCTTCTGGAACGATTTGGCAGTTTCATGCCTCAGAAATAACATTTAGAGTTTCAGCTTCATGCAAACCTCTATGGGAAAGCCAGTATTCAGGGAGAGGACTGAAGAATAACCACACAATTTGTTCACCCATCTTGAGAAATAAGCACAAACTAGTCTTCACAAGGATCCCTTGAAAATTTCACTATGCAATATGAAACCCAGGCTGGAGGAGAAAAAGTGTACTGCTTCAGAGATGCCAACATCTTGGTGTTTAGGGTTCACTGACAGATTTTTGAGTCTTAAAGCCACTTCAGAAGATGACTGGGCACCACGGGGCTCAGTCAGAGATCTGTAGGAAGTAGGCAGGCATAGACCCTGGCATCAGTAAAGCAAGATTATCCGTAAGGAAACCAAACCTGGCCAATTTCAGTGGCTCCCCACACTTGTAAGCTGCTCTCACAAACAATATGAACTGCATAATTTCCTACTCTGATTGACTGTTCCATCACTTGTATATATAAAATTTTCTCCAGTGTGTAACTTCTGCCCTAGGCTACCCAAATTCATTACCAAACATTATACAAATACTTCTTTGCATGACAACAGACTCTGATTTTACCTCTATTCACAAAATAAAAAACAATTTCAATATCTAATGTATCATCAATATTTGGAAAAACATATCTTAAAATGTCTTTAAGGTATTAGATCATCCTTATTTTTAAAGTCAAAATAATCTGTTTGAATGTCTGCTTTTACTTTGAAAAAGATCCTACTCACACCCTTGCCTGGCTGCCTCTGACACCTACAGTCACACTAATACAAATTACTTTAGAACTGGGCTTTTTGTAATTAAATACCACAATTGATTTTAAGTTGCACAAGTGATCTTGGGCAACAGAAATTATCCCAAACTGTGACATTTGTAACAAACTGAGGATCAGAAGCTCTTTGCCTCGTCCAGATTGCACTGTGAGTTTACACACAAGTCAGTGCAACAAACCCATTTTCTGTTGGGTGTTTTACAAACGTCACATATCCACAAGGCTAGGCTTAATAAGGCAGGCTTGGAGGACAGGTCTGCAGACCAAGAGGAAATCCACCTCTCTCAGGTCTTCTGATTAGCCTGGATGCTCTATTGCTACCTGGCTTTTCACCTCATTTCTTTGGAGTTACTTTATGCCCCCATATTTTTAGGATGCTGTAAACGAAGCTGAGCTCCTAAGAGCATGACTCAGCTGCCTTTGGAAATCAGTTTCATCACAGTGACTTATGCATTCAAATGAAATCACTTCAAAGGCAAACTCATCACTGAAAGTGATGTTGCAGTTCCTCATGTGCTCCCCAGCTCTAAGTGATGCACTTCACAGCTAGGCTGAAAGAGAACAGGGTCGCTTTCCAGCTCTCTCTGATTTCCATTGACGTCAGCCTTGCTGAAAAGGGATGGGTGTCCCCATTCATTCAGGCGTGCTGAGTGGCACAAAAGATTTTCCAGAGTCCAAAACAAGGGCACAGGTCATTATGCATCCAATCTAGTCCAGGTCTTCTTTAAAACCTTAAGTGATATAGGTAAAACAAGACAATGATCTCAGTCCAAAAGTTAGTGAAACAATTGATATAAGCCCTTCATCATCATTTACACTACAACTATATGGTTATGGAAACTGAACTGCTTAGCATTTCCATCCACAAGGTTCACGTAGGCAAGGACCTCAGTGCACTGGCAGCAGCAGATGTAGAAGCTCACAGTATCCCTGTGCTGTCATTCTTGCAAACACAAGGCTTGAACTTGCAGACCTCTTGACCTGGCACTCTCTGTGGGCTCCCAGACAGCTCTTGAAACTGTACTGCCCTCATAACCAAAGTCCGACTTCATCAGAACCAGTCTGTGGCTGTCAGATGGGTTAATTATGTGGAAGAAAGAAGACAGCTGCAAAAAGTTGCAGGAAGTTCAAAATTACTCCCAAAGAGAACTGGCCATTTAAGCCCAAATTCAAAGCATAGGATTTAGAAGAACAGGAAAGACCATGCAGGTCAAAGGACAATTTCCTAATTGCTCATCTCCCCCACCTGCTCAGGGCTGACTGACAGATAAAAAATTCTCAGGGCGGCCATTGTCAAGTTCAGACAACAGTCACAATCTGAATGTTTGAGTTTTTTAGTGTTTTGACTATTTTTTAAAGAAAATGAGATGAAAGAATGGGGAAGTAACTTTATAATGATAGATCCTACTTTCAGATAATTCTGAAGATAACTTGTTGAGTGAGAAATAGCCTGAGATGCGGTTTCTTGCCCTGTGGCTTACTCACTACTAATCTCTTGAGCCAGAGTGCAGGGGGAAAATCTCAACTGTCCCCCTTTGTGTTCCTACCAAATTCACTGGAGAGTGGTTTCTCTGGCTCACTTTTCTAGTCTGGCCAGCAGCCTGCCACTCAAAACATCCCAGCCTGAGTAGCTGACACTTTAAACAGTTTCCAGCTTTATCCAGAAAACCACCATGGCCACCTGTCTGTCCCTGTGGCTCCTCGTGCCTTCACAACCTTAATCTTTGCCATCTCTCATCAGGGCTAATCCTCAACAACACCTGATTCATTGGGTGAAATCCAAAGCTCTGGATGCTACCATGTCCTCATCTGGGATTACTCTGAAATTACACCCACGCAAGAAAATCAAGAGCTGAATCTCCTGGCTACAACTTGTGGGTGAAATCCTTGGCAGCATAAATAAAAGGATATGAGAGCAAAAGTGGAAATAGATGAGAGCAAAAGTGGCCGGTGTTTTATTCAGTCTTCTCTGAAAACTGCAGAATTTGAAGCAGCTCCAGGGTTTTGCAAAGTTCCAGCAGCTGTCACAGACCCAGGAGACCTCCTGAGTCACAGAGGATTATCAAAGTGTGGCATATTGTGGCCAAGCTTACCCTGTTCCTGAGACCTACCCTTCCTTGGAAGTTAGTGGGAAAGAACTCTGCCATGTGGGGTGTCGCACATTCAAGGCTTAGTGTCTTAGTATGAGAGAATTTCAGCGGGAATTTGGGAGAATTCAGATCTATATATTGGTAGAGTGAGAGTTCTCACATAAGGCATTGTACTCTTCATGCCCAGAGAAGATCTAAAGTTATTGCTGTAGCAGAGCACTCTCACTGTTATCAAGGAGCACTCAAAAGAACAACAAGAAAAATAATACCCCACACCACTGAAAAAAGAAGAAATCCACCATATTTTTCACTCCAAAAACAAAGAAAAACAGTGCTCAGAAAACTCAGTATTTTTCTTTTATCCACAAATCATTCTGCTGACAATACAAGACAACAGGGAAAACCACTCTGTTCTTCCAATATGATCTGCACAGCACTGGAGGATTCAAGGAAAAAAAATGTGTCAGGGTTAGTGAGAAATGTAGACCTGCTGGATACGTAATTATTTTAGGCGTCCTATCAAAAAGCTAGATGTCTTTCAGACATCTTCAGTCTTCATCATCTTCAGGAGAAAAACACAATGATGTAGTGAATCACACCTTTTAACCAACTAGTTATGGAAAGCTGCAAAGGCTCATGGCAGTAGGGATCAGCTGAGAAGGGGAACTTTTAGCTAATGCTATTTCCCAGACTTGGATTGTCTTCCATACTTGACTACCCTTAGTCTTGGTTTCCTTGTAGGCTTTTTCTCTCATCATTTCTTTCTCAGAGACCAACATGTAACAGTAGTTAGAAACACCTTTTTCTGTCCACATGCTTTGCACCTCTCTGTTTTGAACGGTGATATGACAGTGGAGGAAGCTGATGCTGCGCTGGGGATTCATTATATAAATGAGCTTGGCTGTTTTTCAACAGCATCAATTGAACCAGACAGCATCAATTCTAGACCTCTCCCACGCTTACCATGTGATTTAGCCCAAACAATAATACATTATTCTTTCTAATTGCATGTCAGCCCTGTTGGTGTGCTCAGCCATTCTGCCCCAGGGATCCAATTCAGTTAGTGTTGAGTAGGCAGGATAAGTAAGAAAATTAATGAGTCCATTTACTTTCCAAGATTTTGTTTGCAGGTACAGTGCACCACCCTATTTCCAAATACTAGAGGTGGTAAATATTAAGCAGCTTCACCTCCTTCTCATAACCTTTCATTTCCTTCTGGCAGCATCAGTGCTGCTAATAAATTTTATGTATGCAACAGCAGGACAAGCTGGCCTGGAATTAAGAAGTGGTATTTAGGTGTCACCCATAATAGTCATGCTGAAATGGATTTATCCAGGAACACTTTAGAGCTATTTTTGTTCATTTCATATTCTCTGAATTATTGTAAATAAACATTGTAAATACTTATCAGACAGAGATGAGTGTTAGTTCAGATAGAGGGCTGGCACTGACATCATGAGAAATCAGTCCGTGGAGTGGTCTCAATAGGACCGTCAGTTTTCCAGCCATATTTTAACATTGTTTGACTAGTAGGAAATATATAGTTCTTTGGCACAGTCTTTTGAAAACAAGTCTTTATTTGGTGTGGTGCTGTGCCCAGTCTAAAGTGCCTGCGCTACTAGGCTTTCAAATGGCTCGGCCTTTTCCAGATGTTTCAAGAAGATGATTCCTTAAGAAGATGTTTCCTTAAAGTGGAAATACCTGAGACACAAAGGTCAGGAGGAAATGAAAACCTTTACCACAATCTAATGTTTGTGCTATTATAAAGACCACATGATTTCACGACTGCTTCCTTATGGAGTAGGTGTTATGGAAACACTTTCAGAGAGCTGGATTCGGGTCACACATTTTGGTATCCAAAACAGACATCTGCAGGTGCGAGGGCTGAGTAAATAACATAATCCACTGCCTGTCTCAGAAGTACCCAGGCTCCTTAACAAGCAAAAGAGAATATGCTTGCATTAGGGTCAGCTGCTACAAGTGACTCACAATTATTTTTCATCACCAGGCGTTGAGGGAGTCAGATAGCTTGTGATCTGAAATACCCATTTCTCTCATGCAGAGACAGCTACACTGATCATTACAGTATGCTGAAGTCAAAACTCAAGTTCCAGAATCTTTTATCCACCACAAAGTTCTTAACAATTTTGATATCTCTCATGCTTATGTGGCGCTTCAGGGAGATGGGGGAAAGGTAACTCTCTAAATGTGTGAGTTTGAGATTCTTATCAGAGCAGTGAGAGTCCAACAGGGATTGTTCTACTTATGGAAGTAACCAGCAGGATGTCTAACCTGCCTGATAAATACCCTGGCATAATTTGTCTCTTTGATCACGGCAAAGAGTTTAACGTTTTCATACCTTTTTTATATTCAGATTTGTGTGACTTCTGAAAAGGAACACGATGGCTTTATCAAGGTATACAGCGGGAAGAAGAAAGGCTTTGTCCCCACAGATGTCTTGGAAAACATCTGATTCCAACAGCCCACTCACTGCAGTGGGAGCCCTTTGTTGGCAATGCCTGTCTGCCTCATCTCACACTGTGTCAACCCAGATGGGCTGTCTTGCAGATGTTCAGGGAAATAGTGAGAAAACTGCAACAACATGAAGAAAAAGACATTTAGACTGCCACAGCAACACAAAAAATATGAAAAGTTGAATGTTTGAAAGAAAATGTAGTCAGAAACCACCAGGGAAATAAGAGGTCCTCGGATTCGAACAGGAATAAGGTAAGGGAGGGAGAAAAACAAAGCCTGGGCTGATTTCGGGCGCAAGATGGCTGCTACAACCCTGATGGAGACAGACAGCTTGTTCTGAAGGACTAAACTGGCATCCTGTTCTTGTGTCTTAGAAAACTGTTGGACTGCTTTCTTGTTTGAAGTGTGTGTTTTGGGGGTGGGGGGAAAATACCGTTCAAACTGTCCTTGTACTACAGTCCAATGCTTGTAGTAAAGTGTGGCTGTGGTTCTACAGTTTTGTCCCCAATACCAACCGAGTTTAATCATTTAGTCCTGTTGTTTAGTCTCATAACAAATCAGTTTGGAGACACCGTGTGAATGTCAGTTCGAGAAATGCACTGTGCCCTGGAAGCTGGCAACTTTCTCTTTCTGTGCAATCTTCCCATAGGAAAGAGTAGCGAATTTGTGTGTCCTTTGTTTCCTCTGTATATGAACAAAAGCTCTCAGCGTATGTTGGGTGTGTTTTGGCTGCTCTCAAAGGTCAAAAATTTCTGGTACTTGGATTCACAAGTCTGCTTGGAAGCATCACCCTGTGTTTCCTTCACCCTTATCTGATGATACAGAAAATGGGTAAAGTGCTGGGAGACAGCCACAGGCTCGAAACATTTTATATTTTTTCTGTGTTTATTGCACTTAAAACATTTTATATATTAATCCTATTTATAAAAAATAAAACAGTTATATAACCCACTGGAAGGCTGAAAATGTTAGGAAAGGACAGGCTGCACACAGGACTGAGGTCTGTAATTATCACAATGCAGAACTCATGACAGAAAGGCACTGAGTAGCCTCATGGTGTATTCACACACCAAAGCTCTCTTCTCCATTTTCTAAATAGAAGTTTTGCAGATTCAGCAGTAGATACACCAATGTAAATTTTGCCTTGGCATAAACCACCATGATCATCCCTTGTGTCTTTTCCATGCTAGTGAGACTGTGCAAACATCCATGTTTTGTCCTTATAAGCCTCCATCTTCAAATGTGTTCTGGGCACAAGAACCTTGCAGTACTGGGGAGCACTCTGTGGGACCTGTGAGTCCTGACTGAATTACACAAGTCAGTCAGTGCCAATTATGCTGTAGAGCAGGAGCCCTATGATATTTGAAGACAGAGAACCTAATTTCCAAGTATTTAATTGGATGTAATTGCACCAAATACACTTAAACAGCTTAGCATGTATTATGACATAGAGATTAAGCCCTATCCTAAAGCTCCCTGCTGAATTCATGCCTTCTTTGACTAGCTTGAAACTGAATGCCTGTCTTTTCTGTGACAAACCACAAATTGGTGTCCTAAATCCTGATACTGCATGCCAGGCTAGTATAGGCCTTTGCAAAGCTGATGCCCTTTCTTAAAAAAGCAGCTACTGGTCCTGTTCCCATATATTGAGTCAGGTTGAATCTGTGCTGCATAGCCCAGGTCTCAGTAGCTGAGTTGCCCTATTTGAAAAGCTGATCTTGCTCAAAGCCCTGTAAAATCCAAGTGAATTCTACACTTGGCCAGAAGTTCTCAGAGAAGATTGGTCTTCAGCCTCTCAGAGACATATTTTGCAGCTCTTTTGCATCATTTAGTTGCAGAGGAAGTTGCAGGGCTGCCAGATGCTGAAACATGGACCTTTGTAATGCAACCAGTCCATACTGATTATTAACAACTCCTGGCTGATCAAAAGTATCTGATTTCATATCTTCTGTGGGAATATTAGCAGGGGTTTTTTTCCCACTTCAAACAACATTTGTTCAGCTCATTTTCATAAGTTAACAATAAACTCAGTGGGAGAGGATTCTGATAATCCTTAAGGATCAAGAGGAAAAGTAGTAGAGACATATTAATCCACTCTGCTTTATAAGATTATTTTTTTAATATATATTCACCCATTCAAAGGAAAAACTCAACTGTTTGTTACAACTAAAATATTTGCTACTTTTGATCAGGCCTGTCAAGTGGACAAAAGGAAATCTCTATTAATCTATATATATGTGCTATTGTTTACATGATTGCATCATACTGTGATTCCCCCCTTTTTCCACCTGCTATGACTTTGATTTATCCTTACAATGTGCATCATATTATTCAAAGAATTATATGAATATTACCTACAAATCACAATGGCCTTTAATCAATGTCAGTTTTATTCCTTTTGATACTGAGCAATAAATAATAAAGTGACTGAGTAAAAACAAAACAGGCCTTATGTGGACTGCATTACATCTGAGAAACTATTGCTTCTGAACCAAAGCTTTCATGTTTATCTTTTCTTTGTGGTTTTGGTTGGTTGGTTGGTTGGTTTTGTCTTTTTACTGGGCTTTTGCTGCCATTCAATATGTAGATGTAATTTATGCCTAATTTAGCAAGAGGTACATATCGTACATGAGTCTTACTTTAAGCATGTGATTCATTGGCTATTTCCATGCTTAAAGCTGAAGTACTTTGCTAAATTAAGGTCATTTTACTCAAATTTATTTTGGATGCCTTACTCTGAATCCAGACAAGTATCTCATCACTTTTTTTACTACCATATGCAGTTTGCAATAGGTACTGTGTTAGCAAGCAGTTAAAAATCAGACAGAAGATGGAATGGATTTTATCTGACATATGTTCAGAAAAATTGAATTTTAGAAGATAAATGCTGCTCAGATTTAATTTAATATTCTGCTTAATAAAGACTATGTGATGGTTGGAAGGAGAAGAGAAGTGTATGTGTCATGGCTTTTTGCATAAGACTATGGAATTTTTGGTTACCCACCTTGAAGAAGAGTCACTAAATCCATCAGCAGCAGATGTTACTGAGCATTTCCATTTAAAATTTACAGCATTTGCATTTGCCACACTTATCAAACCAAACGTGTTTCTGCATTGTATGTAACACGTAGACCCAGGGGGAAGTTTTGTGGTGGGGCCACACTGAACACTTGTTTCTGGCATATCAGAAAGTAGTTTTAGCCATTCAACATCTCATCACAGCATAAAACTGCCTATAGAATATTTTCCTCTGTGCTAGCAAGAGCTGACCAACATGAATTATGAGCTGCCAAAATCATAATATTCTCCCATCAGTAAATAACACAATATCACAGTTTATTATGACCTCTTCCTGCACTTGGCCATTTTGACTCAGTGGCTCCATCTGGAGAAGAGTGCTGCAGCACAAGGCTGTTGAGCTTCATTGCCCCGGGGAAATTACTTCACTTACGGATACAAACATTAGATACCTTAGAATTGCTTACAGCCCTTTTTTCTAATTATTTGTCAACATTCAGTTGACTAAATATAGCACTCAGTGTCATCAGAGGAACATGCACAGGGTTGCCAGAAAGTGTCATGAGGGATTTGGAAGAGCTGCAACCTCCTAAAGAAGCCACTGGAGACCATGTAGGTTTTCTAAAATGGAACTAGACAGATGTCTTTGTAAAATGAACCCAACTCATTTATTTTAAATATGTGCAGACAAGTCTGATTTATTGAGCATTTAAAAGACATCTTTCTTTCCATAAAGGATGCTGAATAAATGCAGTATGCCATATCAATCTTATCCCATTTAAATCCAAAGTTCAAAAGAACCCTTGAATGCCATAGGGACTAAAGTTCATCAGTAAAATGCAAAAGGCTCGTCAGTGTTACTGTTCTCCCAAAAAACCTATGATGTCATTTGTCTGATCTATTTATATCTGTACCAGATAACACCTGACTACCACATCTTGTACCTTTTTACCATACCTCTGAAGGTACTGCTCATGATTATTATTAGAAATGAGAAAAGAGGTGCATTTTTTCCCCTTTTTATAGAATTTCCTTGACTGGCTGGTGGGTAAGGGTCACTTCCTAAATAGAACACATAAAATATAAGGAGGAAGGAGTGTGAATGATATTCCCATGCATACTCCTTCTGTACTTTGCTCTACTACAAATAGGATCAGACCAATACAAGTGTTTAATTTCATATTTGAGGCATTTCATAATAAATGTGGTCCCAAATTATCATCCAGATTTTGCACACTACATTTTGCAATGCAAGGAGAATAAATATTTTCCCCAGTGGGAATACATGTCATCACAATGTTGAGTTTTCCACGGCTAAAAAGAGCATCTGGATCTAAGAGGTACATGAGAGTTATTTTTAAAACCACCCTTTATATAGAAAACTGTTATGTGCCTGGAGACCGAACACTTGGCACAGTTGGTACAAAAGAGGCCCAGGAAAACTTTAGTAGGACTGCTGCAGGTCATCATGTACATCCATCTCTTGAGTGGCCCAAGAAACTCTGCACAGCACTTGCTTACATTAATATCCTTTTTTCAATCAAATGAGCTTAAATTAATTTCTCATTTTGTTCATGTACATACAAGAAACACATGCATAAATATGTAGGTATATCTTACATAGATTAACACCAATCCAATTGCAATAGTACATGCTCTTAAAAAGTCTGTCATGACTGAACTTTTCCTTATCTTACTGTGCTCAGCACTGAGTTACAGTAGTGGATGGTGCCCAATAAGTACTGAGACAGGCAGCTAGATGAACAAAGTCTAGAAGTTTTGTCTGTATTAGACAATGTATATAATATATAAAGCCAGAATTGCAACAGCTGAAGTGGAAATAACACAATACATGGAGCAGAGTCTAGATGCCCACCGCTCTGAAGTGCACGTTGCTCATCAGGCAAAGAGAGGACTGCATGGCACATACAAATTGGCAGCCTGAAAACACTGTCAGAACATCATGTAAATCATACTGCTTTGACCCAGCGCCTCACAATAATGAGATATTGAAAGTAAAGAATAACTTCTCCTGGGACACCTGAAGGAGAGGAAGCCAGGAGGCTTTAAAAAGTGCTAATCAGTCACACATGCACACCATGAGAAGCACACCTAAACCTACCTTAATTAGAATGAAGTAAATCAATGTCTGGATAATTACTATGCTACCAACAGTTTGCCAGCTGACAGGGTCAGAGGCTGACAACACAAAACTGAGAGACCGTGGGGGTTGTTTCAGCTTTGCATCACAAACAGGAAAAAAAGAGACTTAGCTGTGGGTAAAATTCAATGTTTAACAGCAGCAGTGCAGCAGTGCTACAGACGCAAACCCTTCAGTGTGTGTTTTCTGTTCCATGTAGCCCTCTTCCCCTAGCAGGCCCAGTTTGGGTGGCCATGGCAGCAGATGCCACCCCTTGCTCTTTTCCAAGGGCAGCACTGCAGGAACGTGGGCACAACTGCAAAGAAGACCTTTGGGTTCTTTCCAGACTGCCTACTCCATGCCAGCAGAGCCAGCCACTCCACATTTCAGCGCAAAGCCTTGGAGTCTGGCCTTCTTGCATGCCCCAACAGTGTTGCAAACTGCACTGCAAAACATGGTGGTTCTTTGTGCCTCCCTGAGAGGGGTCACTCACCTCTTCTGCTCCTGGTCCTTCTCTGTCGGGGCAGCTTGCAGCACTTTTCTTACCAGCCATCCTCATTTTACACCCACTGAGTCTCACTCTGTCCTGCCAGGAGAAGCCTTTCAGGCCCATCCAATGCATCTGCTCTGTTAAATGTTTTCTGTCAAGCTAGTTGTCCCAAAAAAGGCAAGTCTGGCATTGTCCTGGCTCAGCAGTTTTCCCATCTGTGAACTGCTTGAAAAAGCCTCTTACAAAGGGCTTTGGGCCTGCTGTGAGCCCCATCCCCACTAGCACAGGGGATGGACATGGTCTACTTCCATGTGATGAAGGATGGAACAGGGAAAATTATCTTAATTTTGAGCCTTTGGAACAAGTCTGTGTCTCTAAGCCCAAGTACTGCATGAGCCATACTAAACATGGAAGAATAACTTCTGGTTCTAGCCCAACCACATTCTTTATCACTCTGTATTGCCACATCTTGGCTCAAGGAATGCAAAGTGAATGAAAACCTTTCTTGCTTTCTCTTTAACTCACGTCCACAACCTAATCAGCTGTTGCCTTGTCTTTCATCTCAGTCTTGCAAAGGTCTCCCCACCTGGGTTTTTCCCCTCCTACCACAGGTGGTGCTTTCTGTGTATATTATCCAAGCTACATCATCCAGCCCCACTGTTGCACCTGTATCTCAGCCAGGGCTGAATATGGCCAGCACAGCCACCTGGTTTGCAATTCATCCCTCTGCAAGGCAGCATAGTGTCGTGTGGGCTTTTTAACACTCCACAGTACACCACCTAAACATAAGTAGACTCTAGTTGAGTACTGGGAAGCTGAATTATTTAATTTGGGGGATTATGATCATATCCCTAGTGGTGTTATTGGTATTTATACAGTATGTAGGTAGCATTTTACCATGTAAATAGAATGGTAAATACACTAAATGATTCCAAGACAAAATTAATAGCTTACTCTTACTCCTCATCCTATACCTGCAGCTTTTAAACAGCCTGCTATAGTTTTTCTGTAGATACATACAGTCCTGTGGCTTCTAGAACTTACTGCAATACACATTATTAGTACAACTGGCAGGCAAGTCTGCTTTAGTGACATCCTGAAACTGACTCACAGGTGCTTCATGGAAAGAACAGAACATTTGTTTAACTCCTTTTACATAAATCTTTGTTGGACACTAAGGCATTTCTTAGAGTTTTCCTTAGGAGTGCAGAAGCTCCCACATACCCAGACTGGGAGACATTTCTTCCTGGAGACTTCAGCACCAAGAGCAGTGCTATCCTCCACATCACTTGCAAGGCTCTGCTCTCTAAAGACACCAGAGACACCACAAAGAATCTGTGCTGATCCTCCACCCAGGTGCCAGGACAGCAGTGGGACAGGCAAGCCTGCATGAAGTGTTAACAGGGACAGCTTCTGTATCCTGCACACTTACATGCACTTTGTTCAAATAAAAGGCTGTTCATTCCTGTACCTACAGAATGCTTCATGCAGACAATGAAGCTTTTTTCTTAGGCTAGGTCTCAGCTACCCTGCAGTAGGGCTGGAGTGTAGGGTAAATGTTAGTTGTGCAGAGAGCACCACTTCAGAGTCTGGGGTCAGGCAGCACCTGGGTTGTCCATATTGTATTCACAGTCATGATGCCATAGCTTGTTTTTGCAAAAATCCCTGTGGCCTTTATGTTGGCTCATGTGACATTAGTAAAGGCTCTAAAAATACAGTCTGCTTCTCTGCATAATGCAGCCCCCAAGACACAAACCCAATCACCACAAAACATGAGCTGAGACCAGATGCTGGAGCAGACATACATTTCTTCATCTGACTGCACTGTACTCACCCCTCAGACTTCACTTACATGAGGTCTGATAATTGAGAAGGAAGCACCTTAATTTCTTGAGTTTTAAGTGCTCTTTAAGAAGTCTTCCTGCTTCAGTGCTCCAATTACACCCCTCATAGAGTCAGCTCACTAAGTCGCATTTAATGCTAGCAATTAATGAAACAATCTGCAGCAGGCCAGAGGCATCAAAGGAGCCTCCTGCCTTCAGCACTGTCTCTGTGAGTGAGCTCTTCTGCCTGCTGGATCAGCATCACTTTTGCTCTCCTTCTTGTAAGCAGGTTCCACGTTCTACCTCCAGACTAAGCCACATCCTCAGCCCCTAAAGGTCGGTTCTGAAGGCAGGCATCACCAGGTAGTGGTCTTTGCACAGGATGATGCCCTGCTGAGTAATACCACTTTCACAGCCAGCTTTTAAAGACATCACCCTTTTGCAGGTCAGATTTCACCTTTTAAGCAATATCACTG